ATAAAGATTAGAGTTCGTTGTCATAAAAATGTATCAAGCCTTTGTTTTTTCTCATTTAGAAATACGTGTAGGTTTCAATGTATACATCCCTTATAGTTAGGTTCCGGGTCCCACAGTGTGTCAACTCTTGCTTGCTCAATTCTCAGCACAGCACTCGAGTATTTGTAGACGTTGTGTCATCCAAATCAATTTGTGACATCGTCTATATTGACAGCAAGAGTGACCACTGACCATCTAAATTTAAAGAAATAGTCAAACCGTACAAGTACTACATTTCTAAATTGGACTATAATTTAAACTTCAAAATAATCCTCAATAGCTTTGGATTAAATAACGCAGCTAAATCCTTCATCCTTGACAAATATAACTGTAAAATCAAATCAAATTTCATCTACAAATTCTATTGTTATTTTCAGTGAAGGAAAGGAGCTTCATCTTGTCAATAAACTTCGGAAATAATCAATAAATAGGGTATTTACACTTACACTTACGAGTTTCTTCAGTGGAATGTACGTAAGATGGTTGAGGTCTGCTCCACTGCTGGCCTTGACAACAAAATCTGGGTTTTCCTCGGTTCTGTTCTAACTGTGGCAGGTTAGTTCTTGCACGAGGCACCTGGATTTGTGCCTACTGGGCGAAAACGCTTCTAATTGTGTCTTGTGGCAAATGAGAAAACGCTTTTGGGAGCTACCGAGATGTCATGCTGACAGCGGAATCATCTGGCATTCCGACTCTCAGCCTAGCTATGTTCTTTCAACATCACGTCCATTTCACACTTCACTCCAACAAGCTCAAGCTAATTTTAAATAATAAAAGAGCAGTTTTTTTGCCAGAACCTGGCTAACTTAATTAAATAAGGAAAAAGACACAAACAAAGGTCCACCTTCAATACTGGTTGATTGCTCAACATATCTGGAGAGAGGGAAAAACGTGGACTCCCTTCTCTAATTCAGCTCTAAACAATACTTCTCTATCATTGAAAGAAAGCTAGTTACACTTTACAAAAGACCTGCATGGAAGGACTCCAACTGGAGGGGTGTATACAATGAGAAGGTTCCTGAAGAAGACTCACGGCCTGGTCAACTTAAATTGGAAGGGGGGAGAAAGAACATTCCATTAAAACCTAAGGGTTAAAGCAAAACCAAAACAGACAAACATTAAATTAAAAAACAAACAAAATCTTACAACAATCCCTTGCAAAAAACAAAGCCCTAGATAATTCATATGCAAATCTTGCCAATTATAGCACTTACAGCAGTAACAAAGTAAAATGTGTATTTTAAGACAACGTTGCCAAGCAAAATTGAATCCAAACTTTGGCCGCCTATGCAAGATGGCGGTAAGTGTTTATAAAAGCTTAGCATAATGCCATGCTGTTCCCAATAATGTTGTTTCACAATAATTCATATAAATGAATGCATATGTGCGAAATGGCAAGGATCAGGTAAGAAGTGAAATGGAACACTTTGTTTGACACAGAAGTAAACCATTCTGTCCACTTTGCGACTATGGTTTATTCATTATTAGACGACTTAGGAATGTAGCCTGAAGAAAGAAAAAGGGCACAAACTTACGCACTAGACCATCTTGTATATAAAAACTATACTACAACAGTTACAAGAGAAATCAACGACCATTTTGAAGAATTCCTTATAAACATTAGTACGAATCTAGCATCCAAGATTCCTGAATCCTGAGTACCGGAAAAGGTGATTACAAATTCCGGTTTCAGAGAGCACACTTCACCACTTTCACAGAGTGTAAGACACTGAATAGCTTTAAAACTATACAAACACCATCTGGAAATCCTTATGTTTAAGTTCTAATGTAACCGGTCGAACAATAGATGCTCCTTCTTTGTGCGGAATATGAGAAGTCACGAGAGCAAAATCAGCACTTGAAATCGTCATTGGTATTTCTGGGACATTATTCATAAAAACAGTAGACATTAATTTTCGCTTTCTCCGTCTCTTTTTAGAACCACCTGACCCTTGTAACCTTCTTTTGAATTGTGCATGGATTTAAAACATAGGCCAATATAAAAAATCTGCTTGTTTTTAGTATTACTTAAAGCCTAAATATCTAAGTGACACTCAGGTAAAAAAGCTACACCCTAACTTACTCAAATCTTTTGTAAATCAGGTTCCTTTTACAAACCTTTACTTTCCGACCTTTGGCTTCATTTAATTTATTGATAAGTATTGATGAGTAGAATTACACTTTTTGATAGGTTTTTCAGTTATTTGTGTTTTACAAAAAGGGATCCAGACCTCGTGTAAGATTGGGCTTTTTCCTTGTACCCTCATCTGTACCATCTGTATTTATATTGCTCCATTAACATTGTATTAAGTTGTGATATTTGGCACTTAATTCTGCTTCACTCCGTACCTACAATTTGAGAGATTTATTGTAACCACAGCTGCGAACCTTTTAAACTTTTTACACCGCGGTGGCGCCGTGCTTTGGGACGAATAATTCCAGTTAACACGGTTACAGCATGTGGTACATAGGATGTAGGTTTGCGGGTACACCATGTAAAAAAAATTCTCTTTTGGGAAGAGGTGTGGTTCTGAGAAGAACCGGTAAGTTGAACACTCACCGGTTCTTCTCAGAATCACACCTCTTCCCAAAAGAGAATTTTTTACATGGTGTACCCGCAAACCTACATCCTATGTACTTCCGCCATGCAAAGCTTCAAATCTTACTTAGCATGTGGTACGTTGCTTCGGGAGGTTTATTCAGATAGGTTCCGTGGAGGAGTTCTTAGCATTTTTAAATATATTAGGCTTGTCAATTAATGTTCCACATAGAGTGGAAATTTACTGCAATTTAATTGAAAGCGACTATGCTCCTCTTCCCGTCAGATTTATCCGTTATAGTGCTTGTAAATGACGATCTCGGCGATGACAGCTGCGATCGTCGCAGCCACGCAAAGACTAATGAGAACTCCGGTCACTGTATTCTCGTACCCAGACCCTACAGGAAAGGCACGTAATTACACTGATTATTTACCCAGGAATATTCCTACATCCACACGTGATGTTATCACTTGGTCACCGAACGCCCTGTTTGCGATTACATGAGGAATATGGACACGCCCTTCACTCAATCCATCCTCCCTGCGTTTGGCCCTATAACTCATGTGTGCATATTGGCAAATAGGCCTACCCAAATTCTCACTCAACCTTATGGTTCCAAATGCAAATTTTTAGCATTTGAAGATTTGGGCGGCATCGTGTAGAACTATACTGACACAAACTGCTGATTGTCTGTCGAAATAAATCCATCAGTGTACCTCACTGAAACTGGACCAAGGCACCCGATCCGACTACCCACTGTTACTTACAAGTGAGGTCAGTGCAGCAAAATAGCCTGCAAGAACTGTGATGCTATGATGCAATACAGTGGCACACTTATAAGTGAGGCTAGTCACCGTCAAGAAAATTTGCAAGAAAAAGGCTATAACAAGTCTCACTTATAAGTTTGCCCACTGTGTTGCATCATACGATAATATATTAGCATCACAGTTAGAGCGTGGCTATTTTGCTGCACAGGCCTCACTTATAAGTAGCGTTAGGTAGTCAGATCGGGTGCACCAAGCTACGTCTCTTTGTCACACGTCGATAATCTAAAACATCAGTGTTTCTACAAATTTAGGCTTCAAAGTGTGACCTTTTTGTGTCCTTGCAATTGTTACACCTGTCCAGACCTGACCTGACACTGAAATTATTTTCAAACCATTTCTATTTGTTCGGCAAGTATAATTTGCATGAATTCTTAACTCTTGGAAATGTGAGACGATGTTATGAACTTACCAAACCATATGTCAGATGTAACAGGTGAAAAAAACCTCAGACGCTAATTTATAGGGAGACCATGAAGCAATAACAGCAGCAACAACAACAACACATACATGTACATAATTCCTGAGCAAATTAATTCCTTCTGCGCATCAGTCCTTCAAAATAAAAGCAAACTTTGACAATATTCATTCATTGCACTAGTCAATGAAATTTCTGAAAGCGTTGCTCTATATGTACACGTAGCAGTCCACCTCTATTTAAGTCAAGATCATGGAAGCCCTCGTTATATTAGGCCACAGCCGACATATTCAATATTTTTCACTGGTGCCTTTCACCGTTTTGTCAAAGTATACATCTTTCTTTAGAATGGAATATATAATTAGGAAGAAGATGGATTTTAACTTTTAGTGAAAGCTCACCTCTGCAAAATGTTATCTTGAATGACGTGCTGTTCCAAGATTTGCCGTTGTGGATGTCTGTTGCTGTACATGTCAGGTTACTTTCCCGGGTCTCTTTACCCGGATGTTTCACGAGGAGAAAGCTGCTCACATTGACCAACCCTCCACCGAACGGTTCCTCGACCACAGCGGTGCCCATTTCTGTCCAATTTGCGATGTTCCACGTGATGTTATAGGTATCAGGTCTAGCATCCTGAATAAAGCATTCGAAGAGACGTGTGGTACCCGACTGCACAACCACCGGACCATATCTGGGGTCATCGAGGAGCGCACCGGTTGATGGGTCAGAGACACGCACCATAGGAATAGGAATAACTGAATTCAAGAGCCAAAATAGTTTCCATTTTATGCGTTGCATAATAACAGATTCAGTGGGCGTTTTGTGATTTAGAAATAGCGTTAGAAAGGATAAAACTAGTGTCGTAAATCTGTGTTGGAAATATAGGGGGAGGGGGGAGAAAGGTGGGGGGTTGACCTGCTGGGTCACTATAAAGGGGGCAATGCTCATGATAAAGATGTACATCTGTGATGTGTATCAAATTCATGCAGAATCTTACATCACAATGGTATACATGTATTTATGACTTTTAAAATTGCTTTCCCTTTTTAGTACTATTGCAAAGAGTTTACCCTTTGGGAAATACTGAAATCTTTTCAAAATCCGTTCAACTTTTTTTAGCTCATAACAAAAAGCGTGCGTGACGCAGTGTGGGGGTGATTCAATCACCCATCCCCCCACCTAAAACGTAGGGGGATATATTTTCTCCCGTTCCCCAGGGATTTACACCCATGGTGAAAACTAGCGACTCAATAATTGACGCTTGCTTAAAGTTTGCACATAACACAAAGGAAGCAACATTATCGGTTTAAATTAATGTATGTTTGTATGTAGAATCACGGTTACAACTCACTTGTTAGATAAGCACTGCTGGAACAAACGCCTCCTTTTACTACTACGTTGCAAGTATAAAGGCCTTTGGAAAACAAGTCGGCTTCAATGACGGTATGATTGCAAGTAGAAGGTACAGAACTGTGATTGTAAATGCAGGAGCTCCCGCCTGTCAATGTCCTCTCCGCGTGCTCCCATCGTATTTTTGTACCACTCAATTCCTCGTTACCCACTACCTCACAGGTTAGGGTCACATTGTCACCGATGCGGGCAAAGATATCCGGACCTTGCGTGATCCCAATGGTCTCATTACAGCTGCTCCCCTCACCTTCAGAAAAAAAAATACTTCACTATTAGGAAGCTTTGCAAAAGCCCAACTCTGTGATAATCGAGCTTAGTGGCCAGCCAAACATATAATATGGGTTACTGCTTTTTTGCGCACTTAGGCCTACGCTCAGGGCGAAAAAAAATTCCTAAGCGTTACAAGAGATTTAATTATTTTTAATGTACCTTTCTGTTTAATCGAACTACAAGCACCAGTGCCTGTAGTTGACATCTCTAACAGTTGTAACAAAAAAAATACAACGCGAATTTGTGACACT